GGGATGCACATATACTGTTATTATATTTTTACCTAGAAACTACAAGACTCCGCTGTAAACGTAACTCAGCTGGCTTTGGGTACAGTGCACCTTGATATGGTGCTGGTTTAATGCTGAAGAGACTCTCAAGGCCTAAGCTGGGAAGAATGAGAAGATGTAACGGAAAATATTTCTCCAGCCTTCTTCATGACACGCCTAAAATGACTCTGCCTGATAGCATTAAAGATGAAAGGAACAGTTTATAGAACATCAGTCTGGGATATTTTTTTGAGTTTTGCCTCAAGACAACAAAGTGCCTTTGGCCAGTGCTGCTAACCATCATGTCATGGACCAATTCACAAATCACATCCTTGAGATTAAAACTATGTCTTTTTTTTCCACACCCTGCAAAACACACACACACAGAGACGTGTATCTCCTATTCCCCACCAGAAAACTTAAAAGGTAATTTAAAAAAGCAAAACCAAAAGTAGTGCTAAATCTCCGTGGTGATTCCTCAAAAATTATCTCCCTATAGCAAGGAGTGCAAACTGAAACTGTGACAGTCTGAGGGAGAAACTGACAAGACTCTCAAGGTCTAAGCTGGGAAGCATGAGAAGACACGGCAAAAAAGATTTCTATTTTCAAGAGGGCTCTCAATGTGCTTCATGGCAGCGCTAAATGACAGAGCCTGTTAGCATTCAAGATGAAAGCAGTGCCTCGTAAGGGCATCAATTTGGGACTTTTCCCTTCAGACTCCCCCCCTCCAATGGCAGCAGATTTCCCTCACCGTGTTCCCCTACCAACTTGGGAGAACAATCACTCCCACCCTCCTTTGGCCACCACGGCCATGTTCTCTCTTCCCCCTCACAAAGTTGAGGCACTTCACCTCATAACTCCGTTCTCCCAAACAATACCCATACAAACAAGCAGGCTCTGTCCATCCCACATCATCCCACTTTTCTGCCCAGAGTTCCTTGACCATGTATTCCCCTGGCACATCCCTTTTTCTTCCATTGCTTCTGTCTAGGAAAATGGCAGCCTGGGCGAAACCTTCCCAAATAAGCACAGGTATGCCTGTGGATGTGTGGCCACCTTGATTAGATTACCCAGGAGAACCTTCGGTAGTTTCGGTTAGAGGTGGACAACCCTGTCCCTCTTCTAAGAAAACTAAACGTGACCGAAATGTTACATCTGGTTTCTCAATAACGTCATTCTGGATTTGTATTATTTCTTCATTGGTTATTATTGTTTGCTGGAACAAATTTAGAGGAGAACTATAACATCTGGAGGCTTCTGGAAATAAAATTCCCCCCATTGTTGCAACAATGAACCCAAGGATAGTGGCACTGGAATCCAGTTCCATTACTTCTCTGCACCGCCCCCCCAGGTATATGTGGCATACTGATGGAGCTCCTTGTTCGTCTTATCCTTGCACATAAAGACAAAGAATTACGAAATTATTCCTCTCATCCAGCATGTAAGATGGAGAATTAAGTTCCCTAAATGAGGAGACCTGGTTGGTAATTATTCATCTTTGGATGAGTGAGGTATTTTGTGTGTGTGTGTTCTTGACAAAAGAAGAGAATGAGAATTTGTGCAAATAAAGATTTAACACAAATAATGCAGATTGTGGAAAATGATGATGGCTCCTGCGTTGTTGCTTGGACTCTTAAGCAGGGGTCCCCAACCCCCGGCCTGTGTCCCAGTGCTGGTCCGTGGGCTTCCTGAAACTGGGCTGAGGAGATGGATCTCCGCCCCCCCCCCTCGCACGGTGGGCGTGTCGCACTTGTGGAGGGGCGTGTCGCTCTCATGGGTGGGCGTGTTATGCTCGTGGGTATATATGCTTTATTTTGCAAAGGGAAAATACATCTGTTTTGCTCAGAGACAGCTTGCTGCAAATAGGGGGGAAACTAAACTACAGTTTTTTTAAAAAAATTATATATATAACAAAGAATATGAACAATTAGAAGGTGATCTGAATGATAGAATTTTTTCTTTGCAATTTCCAGGTGATTTCCAAGGAGCTCCAGAAAAGAGAGACCTCTACGTCAGCGGAAAAAAATGGAACTGAGGTAACGGTTGGGACGGGCGGACCACATGGGCTTGGGGGGTGGCGGTCCTAGCGATCTTTTTGACCCCAGAATATTCCAAGGCCTCTGCACATGCGCAGATTTAACCCATTAGTGTGCATTCACAGAGGCCATGAAGAAGAAACATCTGTTTTGCTCAGAGGCAGCTTGCTCCAAATATGGAGACCTTTGGTGAGAGAAAAACAACAATCCAGAGCTCCTTGTTGATTTCTTGCCTTAAACAGCGGGTTTCATGGCATTTGAAAATTCCTTGTGGTGGGCCAGTCTCAGGAGCACAGACAGCCTAAGTGGATGAGAATGAAGAACTCAGAAAGTATTCCTTACACAGCTCGTGTGTGATGGCCTTAATTTCCTGCCAGATGCCTCACATGCAGGTGGGGGTGCCGAAATGCCAACCCAGAGCTCTTTGTTGGTGAAAATCCACACAGAACACAGAGTCAGATTCTCACCTCCCCACCTCAGTAGTATCCATGCATCTTTAGCTTCTGACCCCCTCAGGTTTGCTCATTCATTCAAAGACACTTAGCAACCAGGCAGCATCACTTAGGGGAATTTAATTCCCCATCGTACACAGAAATTAGCTCCTGCCCTAAGAAGTTATCAAAATATTTGACTTATCCAGGCAGCTGCAAATCCCATCCTTCAATTAGTCAAACAGAACGTTGCTGAAAGGTTTAGGCTGTTGCAGACAATTTAGATTAGAAGCCGTAAGGAAAAAAAAAACAGTTACTAATCAAGTCGGTTTCCTGGGCTGGTCCCTCATGGAAAGACCACTGATGTAAGAAACCCTCATAATTACCTGGAAAAGGCTTCATCCAATCCATCATCCATTGCCTTCGTTGTAAAAAGAAAGAGGAGAGGGGAAGGAAGAATAAAAATAAAATGAGCCATACAGAAATGAACATTGTACCGCTAACATGCAAGTATTAAAATCTGCGTTTTGCAATTCTATATGACGTTTCTAAAGAAGGGTCACCTGCACGGAATCCCTGATCACCTTAGGTGACCAAGCCCCTTAATAAAAAGCCGCCTAGAGTGGTCGAAATGACTAGATAGGCGGGGTATAAATACAATAAATAAATAAATAAAATAAATAATAATGGTGTCCAAAAATTTCTTTCTTTCTTTACTTCATATCTTACGTTCTGCAGCCAAAAAACTCATTCAAGGCCAGAAAAAAACATAAGAAGATACAGCCCGAAGACCTGATTTCAAACATAATACAAAAGCAAATAAAAAAAAAGAAAACTAAATTTTAGATTCATTTTAAATAAATGTTCAAAACGCAACACTTGTAAATAGCTTTGTCCTAAGAAAACTGTCTCTCCCATTTTCCCTGGTTTTCTTCTGAGGCCTCACAAATCTATCTGCCCGTAAGATTTTTAGGACGGCACCTGGTTCTTCTGATTAAAGGATCCCAAAGGCTGATGTTCTTTTGGGAACATGGTTTTGTGCCTTCAATATAAATGTCCTATATTTAACTTTTCTTTTTAATCCACAATGACTTGGTCCAGAAGGATTTCAGGATCCCATTAAGCTGACAATGAACTGGCAATGGTCAAAGATGACGACAACAGAAAACTTCCTTCCTATCGTCATTAACTACACCGCCGTAAGCTTGCACAACGAAATGGATACCGTGACTCGTGCTGTGTCTGTTGGAAGGTGCACCTCCAACTTTGCATGGCTGATGGTTGTTGTGGGTTTTTCGGGCTCTTTGGCCGTGTTCTAAAGGTTGTTCTTCCTGACGTTTCGCCAGTCTCTGATGCCGGCCATGAAAGCCTTCACAAATACTTTGCATGGCTGCTTATGAGGAGAGAACCAGAGGTGTGTATCCTCACATCCTGATTTTAATTTTTAAATTATTACCTCAGAAAGCCCCTTTCTGTCCTCTAGGGCAGTGGTCCCCAACCTTGGGGCCTCCAGATGTTCTTGGACTACAACTCCCAGAAGCCTTCACCACCCCCTCTGCTGGCCAGGATTTCTGGGAGCTGAAGTCCAAGAACATCTGGAGGCCCGAGGTTGGGGACCACGGCTAGCCTAGGGCACATGGGAAGCAATTCTGCTGTGTTTTGAGGCTGCTCAGCACCGACCGCTAGAGGGTGCAAGTGAGATTTCAGTTAAACGAAAATATTTTTTGTAAGAAAAAACTGGGAAGGGCGAGGGAGGTGGACGGGGTCAGGCGAAGCTCTCTAAAATCCTTGGATATTCATGTGCAGTCCCCGAGAATGATGGAGACGGCCCATCCTGACGTAAACAAGACGTTAACCAACTTTTGCTACTTGCGTCGAAACAGAGCTTGGAAGTAACACTTTCAGTTGTTACTTTTTCCAAGTAATAAGGGGGACAACCTCTTTACTTTTAAACGCTAACAAAAACAAGGGTATTGTAATTTTCATGACAGACACCAGTCAATCATGACCACAGTGATGTCACTTTAGGAGGCTGGGGAACATTTTTTTAAGTGGTTTGTTTGTTTAAAATATGTTGCCGTTGCATAACCGTTGAGTAATGAGTAAGACATTAATCAGTGGGGAAAATTAACAAGTGACATGTTGCTTTTAAAAAGTATTCCAAAGCTGTGCTCAAGGCTTCAAAACCAGAGAGGGGGAGCAATATTGTCAAGCTCCTGGCATTTCTTGACACATGGTGCATAATGCGCCAGCATGTTGCTATGTAACCATCTCAAAATTTGAAGCAGAGCCTTTTATGGTCTTTCCCATTGACTCTTGTTTCTTAATGGCGTCTGAGAAGTCCTAAATCCAGGCGTGGTCAGAGGGGCTTAAGCCCTTTTATGGGCCAGTGCATCCATTTAGCAGAACAAGAAAAGGAAGAATCCGACGGGTCGCGTGTTGCATAGCTCCACTTGCCCAATGACAGGGACATCACCACACATGGCAGACGGCCTCCAAATAATTAAGAGTTCTCTTTTTTTCAGTTCTTGTATTCACGTGACTCACGCACAAGGATACAAAGCTGCATGGATCACAACATTTTAAAAAATGTTGGAACCCTTTAATTAGCTGCAATCTGTTATAGCCAGTGCCAACATTTCCATGGTGCAAGTAGAGTTTCACAACAAGATCCTGGTCACTGGGGTGTATTTGATCGTGTTTTCTGGGGCAAGCCAGGCCCATCATTTGGCATAATGTGGCAGCTGCTTCAATCGAGAGCGCAGGGAAATGGGAGAGGTGATGCTGGACCTAACGGTGGATGCCCCGGGATGTGCTCTGTGCTTCGTAAGTCAGTCTGGTGCCCTTCGGTATCATTCACTGCCCAAATGTACCTTCTTGCTATTTTTCTGATGGCCTTTCAAAACTCCTTATGGTCCCTAATAAAATGAACTCGATGCAGTTATACACTATAGCTGACCAGTGGCATCTTGGCAACTTGGGTGCGTGGGTGGCGTTGTGACTACGAAAATGGAGAACTGCTTGCACACGGGTGTGTCACGTGCCTCCTTGTGCAAGGTAAAACTGCTCATGCAAGTGTTTTGGCTTATATACCAAGACCTCTTTCTTCATTCTCTTTTTTGAAACTGGAAGCAGTCAAACTAGAATGTTAATTATGATGGAATAATGCGAGTACCATATTTGATGAGCATTACCTAGATCATTAGGGAGTTGAATCACAACAGCCTTTGAAGATGCCATGAGAGTCAATGAATGCCTCTAGAGAGATTCCGGCTGGCAAAGAGGACTTTGAGATGACTCACCAGCTTCTATGAATTGCTGTATGATCTCCCAATGAGTTACACTTCCAAACAGCTGAAATCCGCTTCATCTGCTCCATGCAAGCAACCTCCAGTAGCACACACAGTTGGGCTTTTCCCAAGCTTGAATAAGGAGGTATCCAGTAACATATTGTGCAGATAAAGCCTCATTCATTACAGAACACAGAAAAGCTGGAGATTGCCAGGAAGCAGCTTGTAACACTTTGCCTGCCCTGCAACAGGATAACTAGCTTGTATCCCTCTGGATTAACTTTCACATAAACTTTAAACCAGTACAGGATGGATGGAGAGCAGCCCCTTGCTGAAAGACACCTGTTGGAGATCCTGTCCCTCTTTCATGTCCTGCAATGAGCCTGCCAGCATCAAGCAAGGCATCAGGGTAGATGGGCTGCAGAGCACCTTCCAACTCTATGATTATATGAGTTTCAGAACCTGAAAGCTGCAGTATTGGTGATGCATCTGTGCGCTTGCGTGGACAACACACGCAAACGACCTAGAGCACTCTGAAATTCGGGGCAAACAGTATGATGGGGAAAGAAAATATAAAACCAATTAAATAGTGCATTTTGAAAACAGCATATGAAATTCATTTTAATCCATTCCTTATATTTTATGTAAGTGAATCTGTTTTGTGGGCTGTGATAAACTCGGCACAACATGATTACAGTCTTTTTACGGTTCACACAAAATTGCACTTCTAGCTCTGAGAGGCACTCTGATTTGTCAAACGTATGCATTTTTAAGGCCCTTGAGAAGCAGACACATACCATGAAATACAATGTTTAAAGGAACCAAAGCCAATTGACACAGCACTGATAAATAATTAGAGACGGTATAGCATCAGTTTATAGGTGAAGAAAGCCAGATGCCTAGGTTTCACTGCAGATTGGCTTCAGCTTTGAGCTTTAGCTGAGTCTGAGACCACCATGGGAATGGCCAAAAGAATACTTCCCCAGGTGTCACAGCTGTGAAATAACACAACCTAGTTCAAATCAATTAAAAGATACTCCCCCCGCCCCAGGATCCTGGGATAAATGGTCTCTCCATAGCAAATAGAGTGGTCCTAGTAACCAGATAGGAGGGG